AAAAAAAAATGTCGGAACGATAGGCGGAACTATCTGAACACAGATATAGAAAAAGGAATAAAACTCCATCCTGTCCCTTGATAATTGGTCTCAGTAACTCTTGCATTGTACCAGTTTAAATAAATAGACTTATTTTGAAGCGTTTCTTTAACTGTCATTTTGTAATTTTGACCCATTTACGGAAGACAAGCGTCAATATCTGACGCCTTGATTTGACGTCAAATGAAAGTTATTATTTCCAATTAAGCCACTGAGTTTTCACCTCATTAAAAATTTCATGGGATTCAATAGAGATGAAGTGAGAGCAAGTAATTTCTTTTCACTAACCCAGTGATTCTCAACAGCTGAGCCGCGGCAATCTAGTGTGCCGTTCGATCCTCTTAGAATCCGTAGAATGTTGGTATTATGAGTATATTTGATAACATTTATATGTATACATTTAAGCTAGATCCTGTGGAGGACTCTTGGTTTGGCCACCATCATAAAAGCTAGGTGGGAATAGATCCGGTAGCCATCATTAAACTACAGAAGAACTTAAATATTGTTCGCTGCATTTAAGTATTGAATTACTGTTTAAACTTAACTTTTAAAAGTCCAACGATAATTCTTCTGCTGCCCCTTAATTCAAACACGATTAGATGTACGAAGATCTTTATTTTCCTTACAAGAAATTATTTTTATTTCATGGGTGAAACGGGAAAATTTATGAGATAAAATTAATATAGTGTAAAGATGGGAAAACTGATATTAGAATTAGTTATACATTTAACATTTGAAGGTATTAAAAATTTTCCAAGTGTGTCGTGATAATTTCATTTGCTTCTAGGTGTTCCTTTGCTTAAAAAATTTGAGAAAAAAAAGGCACTAACTCCTGCGACAGTATTCCTGCTGGAAGGTCTCGTTTCTCGATCGCACTTACTTTCGGTTTTCCATAAGCTTTTTTTTTTTTTTTTAGGATCGTTCCTGGTGATCCCTAAAACGAGCACTGCTGTTAGCTTCATGTTTCTTTAACTTTGCTTTACAAGTTTTTTTGCCCTTATGCATAATTATTATATTAAAAGCAGAAATTTGTTAAGTCGGCTAAGACATTTTGCTAAGTTAACAAACACTTGTGCGTTCTGCACTGTAAACACTGCACCATATGAAACGCTCCTTTGTGAAATGACAACAAACTTTAAAAAATCTCAAAGTAAATGCTGCACTATGAAACGAGCAGACGCGATAGTTCCAATGACGTCAGCCGATATAGAAAAATAATCGATTCTAACATCTCGTAAAAGTCATAAAAGAAATTCACCTTTGTACTGGGGATCTGTTATTATAATGTACCTGCCCAAATGAGCCTAATTCTGAGATAATGTGAGGATTTCTTGATACATGTAGTTTTCGTGAATGGCCATGAGTATCTTTCTTGTGAACTCACATGATTAAAATATTTTGTATGGAATATTTTGTGGATAATTAGATCTGAACAGATAGGCAATTGAACGCTCGCAGACATGCATTATCAGCTTACATTAAAAAAAATTAAATAACAACGATGAATTTTTAAAAAAAAATAACACAGATAAATATAGAACGATTTAAAAAAAACTAAAACTAAAAAGAATACAAAACGACAAAAACACTTCGCAAATAAAACCTTTTAATTTTTTTTTTTTTTTTTTTCATTACCTTTCTCCTTCGGCCTCTTCGTCGATGGCGTCTTGCTGTCGTGGTAAAAGTCGCCGGGGACTGCGCCGTCCGTCGGCGGCGATACTGGCGACCGGCCAGGCCAGGTACATGGAATCCCGTACGAAATCATTAAGGCTTCCAACCTCGTGGCATGATTGGGCCTTGGGAAGTTGTAATTTTTGGCGTAGTTTATCCATATTTGCTAGCTTCTTCCCACTTGTTATGCGATGCGAATTTTGTCACTTGACTTTTTTTTTTTTAGACTTTATTCACCGTGTCTGTCGTAAGTACATGGAATTATTGCTGGAATTTTTAATGCTTCTTTTTTTCCTTTAGTTGAGGGACTGAGATATTAAACGGTATATATATATATATATATATATATATATATATATAGTAACGCAGGTGTGCATTCAAAATATTAACCCCTTTTCCACACAGATATTCTGATTATATTTTGTATATAACAGTACTTGCTTTGTTTTGTTTTAATTTTTTTTTCTTTTTCGTTCCGTTGGAAATCTTGGTGAGTTTTTTTATAAACGTGTCCCTTTCTTGATAGCTATCTTTAAAATATTTAATCACGAAGTTCTTTTTATGTTTTTAATTAAAAAATTCCGGACTCTTTAATTTTCTGTTTTCTCCGTTAGTGTTTCTGTTTTTGTTTTGTTTTTCTGTTTGCATGTTTTTCATTACAAAAAGACCAGCTTAATTATTTTCCCCACACAATCGATTTCCCTCTTTGAATTATATATATATATATATATATATATATATATATATATATATATATATATATATATATATATATATATATATATATATATTTAACTCAAACAATTTTTTTTTCCTTGGTTTTAAAAAATATAAAAAAAAATGACCGTATTTTTTTTTAGGCTAAATCATAAAACCAGGTGTCATTTTATTGTGCGTATTGTATGTTGATGTACATGCTTAATGTGTCTGTGTGTCTGTCATTCAGGTGATTTTCCCCGAAATTTCACAAAATACGATTGAGTCAAATCAATTCAGCATATTCATTTATTAATCTTAGGCAATTATATAAGGAATATTAAGATAAAATCATTCTTGTCGTGACGAAAGTAACTGACGTCGTAAAAGTATTACGAAGTACTTTATTTTGGGATATCCGACAATAACTTTAATAATAATATTAATAATTATATATATATATATATATATATATATATATATATATATATATATATATATTTATGAAATAAAAAAGAGAAATTATAGCAATTATAGCTCAATAATACAGTACTTTTTTTTTAATATTATCAGTTTTTGTAATTATCTTGATCGAAAAATGTGATAAAAAGTCTTGCAAAATTGTTTTACGTAAATAATAATAAAAAGGAATGTTATCTTAGGATTGTATCGAAAAGTAGTCATGAAACGCTTTCTCCGGAGTTGTAAAAAAATCGTAAATATGCAAGTCTCTATATGTCTCTTCGTTTTATTTATTTATTTTTCTTTTGACAAGATATAAAACGTTGCAACAGTTGTCACAAATATGAAAGAAGTATTTGGGGAAAAAGGCGAAAAAGTAAGCTAAAATGAGAACAAGATGAAAGAGGTTATAATTCAAGTCTTAGTAAGAATGAGATTTTAAAGATCAAAGATGCAAATATAAAAATTTTCTTTTTCATTACTTTTTTTAAAGAATATATTTAAAAGTATTTATAAAAAATCGAAGTTAAATGTTCCACAGTAAAAAGACAGAATTTTCATAGTAAAAACATTTGTTGGAAAGAACGTGAATATTAACAACAGGATATAGTTTTAAATTTGAATTTATATCATTTTATCATATTTTATTAAATTCGTTACGTGTTTATTTTTTTTTCCTCTTTTCTTTTTAAAGTTTAGTGTGCGCAACTTTCATACAAAATATTTTGGACAGATTATTAACCAGACGAAAATATAAATATCTTGAAGAAAAAGCATCAGATTATAATAGTTATAGTAGAGATAAAATGCATCATTGGTTTTCTTTTTCTAATTCATAAAACTTATTTATGGACATATATTTAGAATACGGAGAACCGTAAGCGTTCGAAGAATAAAATGATTTTTTTAGGTATTGTTTTTTTTTTTGTTTTGTTTTCTTGCTGTCAAAACATCTCTAAATAAAGAAGATTAAGAATCGATAAAATAATCGTTCATATAAAAAAAATCAATCACGCTTAAATCGATACAGTAAAAAGACACCACATTTACACACTTCACAAGATATACAAATTCATATATTTATAAATATAAATTTATATTTATGCATATAAACATGAGTAAGTATATATATTTTGAAATATTTGCTGAAATATGCTGAAAAGTTTAATAATTTCGTTGGTAAAAAATGTGATTTTTTTTCGTTTCGCAAAATTAAATAATTTGCTTTTTTTTTTTTAGAATAAAACGTGTTATTACTCAGGTTTTTTTTAGCAAGAATAAATTAATAAAATAATATATTTTTAATTATATTAATTGTTTTCCACTTTTACAATACAAAATATAACGAAAAGTATTTAAAACCTAATAACACTGCCAAAAATTAGGCTCTAAAATAAAATAAAAACCACTGACTACAAAAAATATATATCCATCTCTATATTATCATATATTAGCATCCATATGACTATATAGATATGAATATATATCAGCAAGCATACGTCAGTGTAGGAAAGAAATAACAAAATTAAAACGCAAATATATCTATATACTTTATAAACTAGTTTCTATGTTAGAAAACGCTAATTAAATGAAAAAAAGTATTTACAATTTAATAGACTTTTAAACACTACATTTGCATAAAAGCTAGGATAAACAAATGAATAAAACTACGAAAAAAAAAAGAAAAAAAAAAGAAAAATATAATACTATCTATAATCCATTACGAAATACCGGGTCCTCAGGTAATATTTTAAGGGCATGTATAGGGTAAGGCATTGAAACAGAGAATACCCAGGTAGCAATTTCAAGGACCTAGAAATCGAACCGGTCGTTAAGAATTCAATAAAAAACGGTCCCGTTTTCGTGGATTTTACAAGTACACTAACATTTGCGGATATATGAATATATAAATATACATATATATATATATATATATATATATATATATATATATATATATATATATATATATATATATATGTATGTATGTATGTATGTATATAATAGAAATCGGAAGATTTTAAATGCTTCTTTTAATTAGGTTTGAAACATTAAAGTCATTTTTTTTCTCTGTAATTTAGAGGTGTATTAAGGGCTAGATAGTGTATACTAGCATTTCAGGCTATCAGCTGTTAGGAGAAGATAATATAAAGAAATTTATTTTCCAGTGTATACACGCAAATAGATAGATAGATAGATAGATAGATAGATAGATAGATAGATAGATAGATGCCAGTAAACTGATATAGGTAAGATTGATTATTATAAATCGCTAAACTTAAATACGAAATGAACTGTTGCTTATTTATTAATATTTTATTTATTTATTCATTTTGTTTTTATTCATTTTTGCAAATTTGTTTCGCAGACCTTCGCTAATGAAGTGGTCTTGACTCTAGTGCTAGTTTTAAGTTGGTATAGATAGATAGATAGATAGATAGATAGATAGATAGATATTGACTGTGATAAGATAGATAGATAGATAGATAGATAGATAGATAGATAGATAGATAGACCAGGCAGTCTGAGAACAGAAACACGCTGTCTGCAACAAATATAGAGATTGAAATAAAAGGTTAGATCTAATAAAAGAGCAAAAAGAAATGTGTGTATGTGTGTGTGTTTCTATGTTCGTGCCTGTTTGTGTGTGTGAGTGTGTGTTTGTGTGTGTGTGTGTGTGAAAAAGAGATAGACGGAGAATGAGAGACGGAGAAATAGCCTGGGTGTGATTGAATTTTTATTTGTTTAAAAATTTTATGAACTTTGAACGAAACAGGGGGAAGAAAGACGCCTCTGTGCAAAATTCTTAAAAATACATTCGACACTTTTCTGGCAGTTCGCAAATATCCGGCATGTATGACAACCAGTTTCCTTACAGAGTATCTGCAGTCGGCGAAAAAGAAAGTAATAAGATTGATAATAATAAAATAATAATAATAATAATAATAATAATAATAATAAGATGCTGATGATAAGAAAAAGAGGAAGCAAGAAATCTCACTGTTGCCAAGTTATCGATGGAGAAATAACGAGTCCAATTGAAGAAAGTAAACGCTGTCAGATGAGTAACGCTACATTGATCGATACGTATATAAACAAACTCATCAGATGCGTGCGAAAAATATCAGAGGAAATACATAGAATATATCTACCTATATTTATATATATATATATATATATATATATATATATATATATATATATATATATATATATAGATTAGATAGATAGATAGATAGATAGATAGATAGATAGATAGTATATATATTATTAAGCCTCTGTAAATGTTAGGAACACTGTGTCTATTGGAATATACCTGTTCGTGAATTGCTCGTGTGCAAGCATGCCGTTAAGAACATCGCTACATGTATGTCATTGTCGGTCTTTTTTCTCAACAGTGTGTGCATCACTTTGCTTTTAATTAAAGGTGTGTCCAGTTTGTGCATATTACAATTCACAGTGAGTTACTTCAGAGCGTGCGCGAACTGACGCGACATATGTTTTTTTTTGGGGTGGGGGGTCGATTAACCGTTCTCAAAAGAGAGTCCCAGTGTTTACTGTTTATATTTGTAGCTGTATCGGCTTATTTTCCAATCTCAAATATTTCAATATGCGCTGGTAATTAGTGGTCTTGGCCAGTACGTTTTGAAACAAACAGATTTTTACTCGACGCTTTCGCGTGTTGCAAATATATATTTAGAAATTATCATTCATTCTTTTTACGAATATACACTAGTTCAAAGTAAGGTTACTTCATTTAAGCATTTTTATTTATTTATTTATAAATATTTAGAATTGATTAAAATAGGATATTGAAGAGTAACGTCTGTGCAGGGTCGTAATATGTTAGTACATATTTTATGGGAATTCGTATATTTTATTATTTGAATATTAATACATACACTCATATATATATATATATATATATATATATATATATATATATATATATATATATATGTATGTTCAACTATGTATTTTTATCATTATAATTAAAACATTTAAAACGCTTGAAGGGCTTTCGATTATGTATGTGTCCCTTTCTATATATGCCTTTGTATTGCTACACATAGAATTAAGTTATTTACTGCCTCCTATAAAGAAGAGTTTGGGAAAAAAAAGCATGCGTGTGTGCTCTAATAGGATACATATAATTTTAATTAATACTTGCTTTTTAAAGTGCTTGTTTGTATATGTGGGTGTGGGTGTTTGTGTACATGAGCGCGAAAAGTGAGACTAATCCTGATAAAGGCCAGGTGTATTAGTATTAGTGTATCTGTATTAATAAGGGTAGAAAAAAAATAAAAAATCGTGTAGAAAAACGTTGATCGAAGCGGGTTGCTACTTAAAAAAACAAAAACACCCGTATGACGGGTCTAGTAATGAAAAGCAAGCATTCTCTGTAATTAGTTATTTTGCAGGTGTCGGCGTTGAAGGCAGAAAGACCAGGTCGAAAGTTAACTTCCTTTTCCAGGATCCAATATTGTAACAGTTCTCGCCGATACTTTGTTTTTTGTTTTTTTTTATATATTTTTTTGTTCTTTTTCCGTTTTTTTTTTTAATTGAATATTTGTTTATATCCAAGGCAGACACGCTCGTATTCTTACGTAAAATAAATGGTTGTGAAAACAA